CGGCGTTATTCAAATCTTCCCACATCGTGACGTAGGTATGTGGGGGCGTGTTAGAACGAGCCGTTTTACATAGGGGTGGCTGACCCTTAACTTTTATAAAGAATATCTCTTTGGATTTGAGACTTTAGTCTTTGCAACTTTACAGATCTTCTTTATGCACCAAGAGTTTGTAACACTCCAAAGAGAAAGGAAAAATTTAAATCGCATCATATGACCCCTTTAATAGATATATTGTGCTGGATATAGCATGTGTTGTCCTCTGTAGTTTATCCCTTTCTGCTTGTGTGTGTACAGGACACCATCTCTCACATGGCGAAGGCTTATGGTTTCCAGTATGAGCTGGTCCAGTATAAGTGGCCCCGCTGGCTTCACCAGCAGACAGAAAAGCAACGTATCATCTGGGGTTATAAGATCCTTTTCCTGGATGTGCTTTTCCCCCTGGCTGTGGACAAGATCATCTTTGTAGACGCTGATCAGGTGACCTTATGCATGAGAAAAACAGTGGTTCTGAATTAAAAAACAAGCATATTTGTACATTTAGCAACAAACATGATCTCAATCCAGGTTAAATTCAGTGAGTGGCATCTCAGAAGTAATTACAGCTTTTTGCATTTTTTTTATATCCTATTTCATGGATGAAAATTCAAATGAAAATTCTGTAATTATTTACTCATCCTCATGTTGTTCCAAACGCATAAGACTTTGATTCCTCTTCATTACAGTGAGGTTTGGTTTTGCATGTCAAGCCATTACATTTGAGCTTCTTTTTACCATATGTGATGTGTGTTGATGTTGATCCGTTTATATGTGAATGAAAGCCTAAATTGAATTTGTTCATATACAAGACATGATTGTGTCCCTTCGGAACCATTCACAAATGGATTGCTTTTCCAGTGTATTTATGAACTTTTTGAAGCGTCAAAGTTTTGGGGGAATGGACTTTCAGTTTAATTAAAAACAGCTTCAATTGTGTTTTTAAGATGAACGGCAGTCTGAAGGGTTTCACGCAGCACGAGGGAGAGTAAATTACACAATTTTCATTTTTGGGTGAATCTCAATTCTTGGCGGTCTGAACACAAAATGATTCAAGAAAAGGATAATAAAAACCATGGCTGATATTACTTCCAGTTTATCCATACTACATGAAGGGCATGCAGAGCTTGTTGCATTGTGGGAAACAGTACTCTGTACAGTGTTCTCTGTTGTATGCTGCACATTTTAGCAGATTTAGATGTAGATATAAAAAAATAGTGTGTTTATGTTTTTGCATGTTGATATGCATCCATTTCCAACCTGTGAATCTGATTTAACAATACATTTCTTACAGTTTGCCATTTTTTTATTAATAGCAGCCAAGAGAATTCACAGGCACTTCTCCAACAATTCATCCTGTTAGCACATTAGCAAATAGTGATACCTTCTAGTTGCAAAACATAACCCAGCACACTTTATATTTAGATTGTCAGGGCAGATTTGAAGGAGCTGAGAGATCTGGCTCTAGAGGGCGCCCCCTATGGGTACACACCATTCTGCGACAGCCGAAGAGAGATGGAAGGCTACCGTTTTTGGAAGACTGGCTACTGGGCTTCTCATCTTGGACACAGGAAATACCACATCAGGTTAGACCACAACAAATCATAATAACGTATGTTTAAATCACAGAATGTCAATTTTGTCTTGATAGATTATAGATTTGCTGTAACATTTTAAAAATTTTTGAGAGGATTCTGTTGTTATATGATATGTGTAATATTTAATAAATGTTGCCCTTTTTCTCCAGTGCATTATATGTGGTGGACTTAAAAAAATTCCGGAAGATCGCAGCTGGAGACCGCCTCAGAGGGCAGTACCAAGCCTTAAGCCAAGATCCCAACAGTCTGTCTAACCTGGACCAGGTATGTGCTTGACATCACACATGTTAACCATTAGAGAAGACTTTAATGTAATTTGAATGTTCTCTGTGGGGTTTGATGCTAACAGGATCTTCCCAACAACATGATCCATCAAGTAGCCATCAAGTCCTTACCTCAGGAGTGGCTGTGGTGTGAGACCTGGTGTGATGACAATTCCAAAACTACAGCCAAGACCATAGATCTGGTTAGTATGCATTCACACCACACTATCTTTCAACTACCAAAACACTACAGCTTAGCAGGAATGGGAGACCCATTGGGAAGATGCCAGTAAATGGCATTAGCAAACCTGAACTATTATATATATATATATATATATATATATATATAAGGGCTGCACGATTATGACAAAAATCATAATTGTCGATTATGCTCTTGAAATTGTAATTGTGGTTATTAATTACGATTATCACAATTTACATTGAATGATGTTTATACCATTGTTTTATGCAACTGCATGCCGTATTTTTATATGAAAATAAACAAGCTGAAAACACTCTAACTGTAAAACTTTTAGTGCTTTTCTATAGAATTAAGCCTCAAATGTCAAATATACATCGGATTGGTTTCTTCTTTAAATTATAAAAAAGTAAAAATATGAATGATATTATAATGTTATACTAAAACTAAAATTAAAATAATGGGAAAATCCCTTAAGATAACATGTAGAAAGGGAAAAAAAACATCTTACGCACGCAGAATAACATAAGTGGACTTTGAACGATTAATTGCCGCTTTGAACGATCATGTAATTGTGGCATCCATAATTGTAATCGCGATTAGAAATTAGATTAATTGTGCAGCCCTAATATATATATATATATATTACAGCATTCATTAGTCTTTGTTAATATACGTTAATAAAAATATTAATATTGTTAATTGCTTGTTATATAACTTTTTATAAGATATAACTTTTTATCTAAAACAATGTAATGGTAAATATTGAAATTAACATAACTGACATATACTAAGATTATTAAATGCTGTAGAAGTTTTATAGCTGATAATTCATGTTAACTGATACAGTTAATATAGTTAACTAATGTTACCAAACATAAGACCTTATTGTACAGTGTTACAGATAAACATTAGAGTTTAGATATTTTATATCCCCTAGCATAACCCCACATATTGTATTTGGCACTGATTATAATTTCAGCAATAACTATCAATTTGGTTTGTTTCATTTGAAAAAAAGAGCACCTTGAAGACGATATTTTAAGTGATATCAGGTTGAAATGCCTGTAGTCTGATCATACCCAGATTTCTTCATTCCCACTATGACTAACGCACATACAGAGAGCGACAAAAATAGTAGACTCATTTACACCCACTTCCTCTCTGCCGGCTGCTCCTGGGAGGTGGAGAGGGAAACGGCAGTGAGGGAAATGGGTGTGAGGGCTGCAGCTCAGGCTGAACTCAGGTCTGATGCAGGTTTAGAAGAGTGCTGACCTCCGCATTACATCCAGCACACTCTCACCTCATTAATGTATACCAAGTTTAGTTGTGAAAGTCTTACTCCAGTGCTGTGTGGGGTTATTTTTACTCAAACACACTATAGGGAAGCAATTGTCATTTTTTTGTTCATTTTATTCTTTTATTTTCATGCCAACGTGCTTGCAGTCACCCCATAATATCATTGCTTTACCGTTCCATAATAATGAATCGTTTTCTCCTCTATATGGTGCTCATTCGTTTTGCTGTTTAAAAATGTTTAATTACTAATTTAATTAAAGTTAAATCCCTTTTTGTTTAATATATATATATATATATATTAATCAGATGACTAGAAAATACTTTATGGAAACTTTAATGCAATCATGTTCATTGCATAAAGACTCAGTTCTTAAATTCAGTCATACAGTTGATCTAGTGTATTTAGACATTGTTTGTCATTAGCACAGTTGCTGCTACTTTTCTGTGCACACGAACACATTTTTATATAAATCTGATGATTCAACAGAAAAGCTATTGGGTCTTGAACTTTAAGCCTCATGTTTCTTACAATATGATGTGTTGTGTGAATGTTAATTTATTCTTAATCTACACTGCCGTTCAAAAGTTTGAGGTTGGTGGTAAGACTTTTTGTTTGTAAATGTTAAATACAGGAAAAACAGTAATATTGAAATTTTACAATTTAAAAAAAAATATTTTCTACACTGAAAAGATCTAAGACTTTTTCTATGTACACAAAAGGCCCATTTCTCTCAAATATTGTTCACAAATCTGTCTAAATCTTCTTAGTTCTTAGCTTTGAGTTCAGCTCATGAAAAATGGGGGCAAAAACAATAGTGTTGCGTTTATAATTTTGTTCAGTGTATTTTAATCTTTATATGTTTATTTTGATGCTTAAGAACCATTATTTATTATCAATGTTAAAAACATTGAAATTGCTGGTTCTCAACTGGTGTGTCCAAACTAGTAACCAGTTTGAGCTCAGTTGTGGTATGCTTTTTGTTTTGCTGTCTATTCTCTGATATGATGTAACTTTTCTGAACTTTCTGTGCCAGCGGCACAATCAAAGTGCTGTTATGTTGTAAAAATGTATTTTGTGACTCAGAAGTCATGAAAGTGTGGATATCAAGCTCTATTATAGATGAACAGCATTGGCAGTTTTCACTTTAAGTGCTCAAGAAATTAAATAAGGCCACTCTAAGCACTGATGGAAAAGGTTGAAGGAAGTGTTTTGCCACCACAATTGACTGTTTTCTTTGTGTTGATGTATTGCAGTGCAATAACCCAAAGACCAAAGAGCCCAAGTTAAGTGCAGCGGTGAGGATTGTTCCAGAATGGTCCAAGTATGACAATGAGATAAAGCAGTTTCTCAAACGGGTGAAGGAGCAGAAGGAGAAAATTACTGAGGGTAGATCATCATCATCATCATCATCATCACCGCAGCACGTAGGTAAGACTTAGTCATCACTAAAATTACTTTTTTTCTAGTAAGCGTTGTGTATAAAGCACAGTTCATAAACATCATCTGTATTTTAACAGGCACTCGACGTGATGAACTTTAGCTCTTGAGTGCTCATGTTTGCACCTACAGTATCTTCCTGTGAATCTTGAACTCAACCATACAGAGATGTTTTCCACAACAGGAACACTGAGGAAATACAAGGAAACATTTTAAAGGACTTCATGACATTTTTATGTACAGTATATGAATTTGAATGAAGGTTTAGTTTGAATGCTCTCAGACTTCAAGATGTAAACTGTATAAATGACATAGCTTTTTATAAATAATTTACAAAAAGATTTCAAACAATTGCAGCGTTATCTGATATGTTTGGCCAGTTTATGAAATTACAGTGGCACTGGTGTATATTTATAAGGGACATACATATCAATATTGTGTACATTCCTTCAGATAAGATTATAGATATTTATACTGTTTCACAGTTCACTCCACATGGCCTTTTTTGTAACAGTTTCAGTAAGTATTCTGTCATCATATTTTAACAGTCAGTGTTTGCAAATGAAAGGTTTATGTGATTGCAAATTGTTGATTTAAAACAAAGGTCTCACTAATAAATTCACTTTTAAATTACCATTGAAAGTCTGAACACTACCAAGTAGCGCTCTCCAAGATATACAGTATATTTCCAGAATAAACCATACAACTGTAAACTACTGTGGTGTGGTGTGGGTGGGGGGGGGATCAAATTCCCATATTCATTGCTGTCAAAGTCAGCTCTGCAGATCCATTCTCTAAAACTGTCTCTGTATCCCAATTATTGAGACGGATCCTTTACATTCCCTGTTTTATTTATATTACATCATTGACTCTGTACACATTTGTTTCTATGCCTTGATGTTCAAAGATGTGGATTTTCTCAGGAATAAAGTGATTTTTATTCTGAAAGGGGATACAAGTTTTTTATAATACATTGGGTTATTAAATTCATTCATTTTAATGTTAAAAGCATTTGATTGCACAAATTTGTTTAATCAAACATCGCTATGCTCTTCAGTCATAGTAAAAACAGACCAAAAAGTCATGTTAATTTAAATAAGCATTCATATCTCTTTATTTCCTTATTTACAGCATAGTTTGATTCACAGAAAAATAGCATTGTTTTCTATGTACATATTATTCTTGGGAATGAAAAGGTCAGCGCTCACAGACTTTGCTTGATTATTAACCTTACGCTCTGGATTGGAAGATCCCTGAAAGTATAGCTGCTTTGAAGAATGGCCGTTAGCAAACGGGATCACTTGATAGCGTGAGATCGGTGTTTGAAGGCAAGCCGTGCCTGTGGGCGGGTTCAGAAGGTGCCAGTTCCTATAGGCTGACTCCAGCACATACACTAGGTCTATTCGGCCGAGCCTTAGTTGAAATTGAATTTGAAATTAAAAGGTCCAGAACCGAAAGGATTGAATCCCTGGAAGTTTTCCCAGCCACCATGGAAGTGGTGGTGGTGATGCCCCCCACCCTGCTGACTCTCTGGATCCATGGGGTCCTCACCCTGATCAAACTTACTCCTCATCTCTGCAGAGAAACAGAAGAACTGGACTAATTACCACAGAACATTAACCGAGCAACAACAGAGTGAAGCTACAAATGTGGCACTAAAATATACCTGGATCGGTGAGAACTTCTTTGGCTTGAGCGATGTCTATGAACTTCTTCTCTGCCTTTTTCTTTTCTTCTGCATCCTGGAAATTGTCTGGATGCCACTGCTGCGCCAGCTTTCTGTATGCTTTCAGGATCTCTTTCTTTTGGGCGGTTCTGCAAGCATAGCAGTTTAATAAGAGTGTTTACTTACTTTAAAATAAGTATTAGGCCTCTGCATTGATTAACAGATGACACAGAGTTGTTGTGTGTATTATCTAACCTCTTTACACCCAGGATCTTATAGTAATCTCTCTTCTGGGACTGTTTGAGGAGCCGCTGTGCTCTTTCCAGACCCTCCTTGATCTGCCGGTCGTTCTCACTATGTTCTTTAGCACTCTCAAAGTCCTTAATGGCTGCAAAAAGAACACAATTCGGTCACTTGACCTCATCATTTTAAGAGCAATCTTGAGGAAAAAGTAGCCAATTTCCTATGTATAAAACATCACCCAGTTATTAATAAAATATAAAAACTGTTACAATGGTTCAATTTATTTATTTTTAAAGTGTCCATATATCCAGATCTACCCTCTTCATACTGGTCATCCTGGAGGTAGGCCTCTGCTCGGTCTTTTAAAGCATTCACATTCTGAGGGTCTGCTTTCAGAACTTCACTGCACACTGAGATGGCTTTGGCAGTTTGTTGGTCCTGAGGAATAAGATCAAAACATAATCACTCACATCAGTTACGCGCAGATGCAGTGTATGCTTTGGTAGATAGCGACACCTTGTGGTCAAGGAGCTCAGTCTCACCTTTGACAAACAGTGGCACATGCGTTCTTTGGCGTTAAGAATGAATTGAGGAACATTTGGTTCAGTCTTCATAACAGACTCATATTTACTAACTGCATCGCTGTACCTGGGGATTTAGTAAAACAATCATTTAGTTTCTTTAGCTTGTCAATGAGTGTGCATTCACTTTAATGGGTTTCAATCAAATGTATCATAAGTGGCAGTAAAGAATATTCTATTTCAAATAAAAACTGTTCTTTTAAACTGCATTTTTTTTATTCATTGAAGAATCTTGGAAAAGAATTCTTAAGTACAAATTCTGAATAATTGTGTGACACTGAAGACTGAAATGGCTGCTGTAAATTCATCTTTGCCATCACAGGAATAAATTACAATTTAAAATATTAAAATAGAATATAGTTATTTTAAAGTGTAAAAATATTTAATAATATTACTGTTTTTACTGTATTTTTAATTAAATAAATGCAGCCTTGAGCATAAAAGACTCATTTCAAAATTTTTAAAAGTTTAATAAATTACAGACCTCAAACTTTTGAATGATAGTGTGTATGTACTATTTCTTTAGTTAATTAAATTCAAATGAATTAATAAATTAATGAAAATGTATTTTATATATTTAGGGTATCCTGGAATCCCTGTGACCCTGCATAGGACAAGTTTGAAAAATGGATGGATGTGTTATATTATATGGAATTTAAAACAATAAAAAAAAATAAACATTCCTAAAAAAATAACATCGGTAAAAATAAGAAAAATAATCTCTCTCACAATATTATTATTAATGTTATATTCTTTAAAATGTTTTTTTTTTTTTTTACAAAATATAGCAACATTGGGACATACATTTGCTGCTGGATCAGTTCCTCAGCAGCTTGTATCTGTTTGTTGAGCTTCTTAACTTGCTTGTAGTGGCTGAAGCACTGCTTATGATCCGGATCCAGTTTCAGACACTCCCTCACCTCACTGCAAAAAAAACACACACACACACACACACACTATTAAGCATGGGTCCAGCTGCTAAACGTTTATTACAAATTCAAAATAACCAGACTGAAAACTGGATGCCACTCACTTTGGACATGCAGCATAGTGTGGCACTTACTTGTACATTTATCTTTGCATATATTGCATTTCATTTCACATACTATTATTAAAACATAGTAGGCAATATAGGTTAAGGTCTATATTCTGCAATACGCTAGTAGGCTTAAAATGCTTTTGTAGCATACATGAACTCCAAACTCCCAGAACTAAAGCATTAATAACTACATGTTGTCTTACTTGAGGGACATCTCATGGTCTCCCAGGTTGTAATAGATGGTGCTTGTAGTGGCTGAAGCACTGCTTATGATCCGGGTCCAGTTTCAGACACTCCCTCACCTCACTGCAAAAAAAACACGCACACACACACTATTAAGCATGGGTCCAGCTGCTAAACGTTTATTACAAATTCAAAATAACCAGACTGAAAACTGGATACCACTCACTTTGGACATGCAGCATAGTGTGGCACTTACTTGTACATTTATCTTTGCATATATTGCATTTCATTTCACATACTATTATTAAAACATAGTAGGCAATATAGGTTAAGGTCTATATTCTGCAATACGCTAGTAGGCTTAAAATGCTTTTGTAGCATACATGAACTCCAAACTCCCAGAACTAAAGCATTAATAACTACATGTTGTCTTACTTGAGGGACATCTCATGGTCTCCCAGGTTGTAATAGATGGTGCTGAGCTTGTAGAAAGCCTGAGTGTTGTCACTTTTTAGTTTTGAAGCAGCCTTGAGGTCACTGATGGCTTTGCCCATTTCACCCAACTGAACGAAACACTCTGCCCGCATCTCTCTGGAGTCCGCATCCCAAAGACACGTCTGAAAAGATGACAAGCAAATAAAAAGGACTTGGCAAATCTTGTTTTTTTAATAATATTCATAATAATAATACCTTGCTATTGGCAGTTAATATGATATTTGTTCTGTTTACAGTTCCTCCAAAGCAAACATGATGACATTACTGAACAAAGAGTGCCCTTATTGAGCACAGGACAAAAGCACCTGGATCACCTACAGGAAACAGGAACCTCTTGAAGGACCATTTAAACTTTTGAGTTACTAAAGTAGGGACATAAATTAAGGTCACTGTTATTTTAGTATCATTGGTATACTATTATAGATATCTTAATATTTCTAATTAGATTCTATGTTCTATTTTTTTTATTGTTATTTACGGAATATAGCCGTTTTGGGACACACTTCTTCGGATCAGTTTTTCAGCAGTCTGGTGAGCTTTCTAAGTTTGTTACATTAATAGTCATTGATATACTATTATAGCTTCTGTTAATATTTCAAACAAGATTGTATTTTTTATATTTTCCGTTTTCACTTTCATTTTAATTGAAGTTTTAGTAATTTTGTTGTTTTTTTTATTTTTAGTAGCTTTTGATGTTTTTTTTAAATATGCATATATAGTTTTTCTTACTTTTTATTTATTTACGTAAGTTTACGTTTTTCAAAAAACAAAGATACGTTGTTTTCTTGGCTATAGTTCTAGGTTTAGTTAATGATAATAAGCCTGATCCAGGTTAACTCACATCAATGATAATGTCAAGGTGTGATACAGCAGAGCCGTAGTCTCTGCGGGTGAAATCGCTCTGTGCCTGGCCCACCAGTCTCTGAATTTCATCAGATTTCTTCAGCTGGCTCTGTGCCTCCTGCTCTTCCCTGCTGCTTGGGTTTGATTTGAGCTAAAATGCAAAAAAAATGTGTCACTTAAGAAAATGAACAGAAAGCAAGTGCCAAAACAGCAGAACAGTTCAATTGTGCAGGTTAAACGAAGCCTTTGGGGTAATGACAGGAAATATACCCCACTGACTCACCCAACTAAGAATACTCTGGAGAAGGATGAGGGCACTTCAGAGAGACTTAATTAAATATTGTTTCCTCATAGGTATTACAATTGAAATGTTCATGTGATATAGAATGTACTGTCATTTTCTTCAGAAGATTTATGTGGACATGATAACTAGGTGTGCACTGATCAGAAAATACCATTCAGTTGCCAATACCAACAGCCTGTATTTTAGCATTATGTTCAACCGATACTAAAATATTTATTTTTAAAAGAACCACTTTTAATATTAAACCATATGCTACAGAAAAATGGACTATACAGTAAAATTACAGAAATCAATTCACAATCGGGTGTTATTATAACCGACCAGTTAAGGATGGCAGGTAATGATCAACCGGTGTCCAATTGGTGCATCCCTAATGCTAATCAAATGCCACGCACCACTTTTTTGAAATCCCTTTCTGCTTCATCAAGTTTGCCGTGTTTCAGCAGTAGGTTTCCTCTCTGAAGTCTCGCCTGTGGATTAAGACGAAACACTGGTTACACAGGTTTTGGTAAATCATGTAAAAATGTTGTACATATTTTAAAGTGTGAAATGATTCTGAGAACCCACCGATGTGAAGTCCGGTTTAAGTTCGATGACTTTGCTCAGGTCTGGTAATGCAGATTTTGACTTTCCCATGGCAAGGTACACAGTTGCTCTCCTATAGTACGCCATGTAATTTTTGGCATCACCATCTGACAATTAAAAAAATAATAATATTTAAATTAAATTAATTTATTAATAATAAAAAAAAGAGTATATGTGTGTATGGACATCGAAACTGCACTGTGTGGAAAAGAATGCATTACACACAAGATTTCATTTAAGTTCTCATGTAAAAAGATCCAGTACTCACCAACAGCAGCATGGAAGTGAGAGAGAGCATCTGCCAGCTGTCCAGCAGCCAGAAGCTTCTTCCCCATCTCCAGATGATTCTCAACACCACCATCCTTCCCTCCATTAACCCCTGCAATACACGTGAAAGGCAAATACGTTTTAATCTAGATGAGCCACATAGCACAATAAGGTACACATGCAATACCTGAATCACGTGTTCAGTAGTAGCAGTATAGCACACTGGAGTAGTGCACATTAGTGTACAGTGAGTATATGGCAATAGCATAGTATGCCTCAAACGTGTCCACTAGCGTCGAGCAGAGTACAACAGTTACAACAGGTACAACATTTTAGTGAAGTGAAACCGTGACAGACAACATGCATTGTTGCAATGGAATCACCGTATTCCTTTAGAGCAGTACAACAGAAAAATGCTATAGACAAAATAACAAAACAAAAACTAAATAAAAAAATAAAAAACTTTGCTTGACAGGTAACTGGATCCTCAGCAGCGTGTTTCTGGACTATTATAACAGTTCTCCATATGAAGTTCATGGAGTAGTGCACATTAGTGTACAGTGAGTATATGGCAATAGCATAGTATGCCTCAAACGTGTCCACTAGCGTCGAGCAGAGTACAACAGAGTCAGGAAGACTAGATTAGTACACATTTTAGTGAAGTGAAACCGTGACAGACAACATGCATTGTTGCAATGGAATCACCGTATTCCTTTAGAGCAGTACAACAGAAAAATGCTATAGACAAAATAACAAAACAAAAACTAAATAAAAAAATAAAAAACTTTGCTTGACAGGTAACTGGATCCTCAGCAGCGTGTTTCTGGACTATTATAACAGTTCTCCATATGAAGTTCATGAGTAACGTGTAGACATCTAAACAGCTGGGATTTTTCATCTCTCACTGACTTTCTTTGAGTTCATTTATAAAAACAAAGTCACTTTCTCTAAATAACTGCCATGAAGATGAACACATACAAAACTGGTTAAAAATCATTTCTTAAACGATAGAACTGACCACTTACCTTCGTATCGAAGATCGATCAAAACTAGTAAAAAAGGAACGTAGTTTAGTAGTTTGTGCGCCACTGGGCTTATGGCAACCATGTTTACTTTTCTTTCCTCCGTCAAATCACTGAATTAACGTATAAAGTTCCTACAGACACACTGGACATTCGCATAGCTGTCGGGCCAGCGGACATCATGCCCACTGGTCGTGGGGCACTCTGATTGGCTGATATTTCTCTAAACCCCGCCCATCGCGCCCTGTTAAACGAAGGCTAGCCACGGCATCATTATTTTGGTTCTGTTTGCGCATGCGCGGCAGTGAGCGTGCATACTGGTGGATGGGGGAGTTAAGACATGTGACATCTATACGAAATGTATATGTATTATGTAGAACTGTATTTTTCGACTTTGTCAGAGGATTTTTTTGCCGTCTGTAACTGGCTACATTTACGCACGTCTTCTCAGCATGATTCTTGAGATAAACTGTGGCAGAAAAGGGCTACATTTCTCTTCTACATATTTTCTACCGTCCAGCCAGCTGTGGCAGTGCTTCCAAGCCTGAGGAACTCATGTGATGTTGCATGTGTCATTTAAGCATGTATTTTGTCTGGGCTCTGTATTTCCGAAATAATGAGACACTTTTTAAAAAGTTTTTTTAGAGAAAATCAGGAAGAATCAGTTTTCTCAAAGAGAAATCAAATACAAAGAGGCAAGCACACTATGTATGCAGCAAAAGAATACAGCATTGCTGAAGTGATAACTGGTCAAATGCATCATTTATTTATCTGTGTAACCGAAATGTAATGGCATCGTTTCATCAGTCGCAAGTGGTCACTTAACCGGCTATTCAGTTGAATTTATTACATTTACATTTAGTCATTTAGCAGACACTTTTATCCAAAGTGATTTACAAATAAGGACAACAAGCAATCAAACCAAAAAAGAGAGCAATATTATGTAAGTGCTGTGAGAAGTCCTGGTTAGTCTAACAAAGTAACAAGTTTTTTTTATTATAAAGTTAGAGGGTCAATTTATTTTTATAATAAATAAAAAGAAAAGAAGTAAATAGCATCAAAAAAAGAATAGAAAACATTAGTGTTAGAGGGTTATTTTTAATAAATAAATAAAAACCGACAAATGAGAAACCGCATGGCAGGCATCGATTTAAAAGTAGGGCTGTTGCAAGGAATAGCCGTTAGGTGGCAGTGTCGCTATCCTTGTCAAGTACTGCTCAATGCAGAGCCAAATGACCTCCAGCTCCCCCTCTCTGGATGTCTAGCTCCACCTCTGTGTGAACTAATGGGTGGAGTTATGTTTAGCGATAGGGTAAGGGGTAGGGTTAGGGAGTAGTTGGGTGTCTAGCTCCACCCATTACAAACAGCTCCTCCCATTTGGCTCTGCAGCCAGCACCCTCTCATCCTTGTGGGGACTCTCCATAGGCGTAATGGATTTTATACTGTACAAACCGTATATTCTATCGCCCTACACCTAAACCTACCCCTTACAGGAAACGTTTTGCAGTTTTACATTCTCAAAAAATATATATTATATATATATATATATATATATATATATATTATTTATAAGCTTGTTTCTTCATGGGGACCTCAATTTAGGTCACCACGGTGACACGAGGCCCCATGAGTCAGTGTGTAGCCTATTCAGGTGTCCCTGAAAAATACACATGCACACACTAGCCAAAACTTTTGTTGTTTTGCATTTCATAATTATTTTACAGTGGAAGAGGACTAGTCAAGTCAAATGTATTTGTATGGCTCTTTTCACAATACGCATTGTTTCAAAGCTTACAGAAAGACTTACTGTTATGTCAATTAAGAGATTTTGAGATTTTTAAATGTTGGTCATTGTTCTATTAAGATAAGTATCTTGTTTATGTATACAGTTTATTAACTGTATGTAGTAGAACAAAATATGAAAATAACTATTTGAATTATTACCGGGTTGGCCTACAAATTGACGTCACAGCTGAACAAGCACTATTTCCACCCCAGGGGTCTGTGTGAGGATTGTCAGGAGGAGGAATCAGAACATGTCACTGCCAAAAATATATTACAGAAAGAGAAATATTCAGAAGGACACCACAGGAGACACTAGATGCAAAGCAAATACTCGGTCAAACAGGAAATTATAAATCTTTAATTGTATTCTTGAGGGAAACTGGGTTAATAAATAAAATATAAAGTGTAATTTTTTGTTTGTTTGTTTGTTTGTAAAGTTCTGTTAGTCCCTCTGGCCCACACTCTAGTATAGTAGGTGGCGGTAATGCACCTTAACGTTGGATGCCACCAGCCATAAAACAAGAAGAAGAAGACAGCACTATTTCCGCCACATATAAAGAGTCGAAAGTTTAATTTCATCACATGCAACGGCGGTAGTTAGTTCTTCAGCGGTCTGTCAACAAACTATATTACAATGTCTGCATGTGCATTGCGAGTGTTTGTCCAGCGCGCGGCTGTGACGCGTAAAGCGGCGCACCAAACATTCAGCCAAACGACAGCGTTTCCTCGACGCGGGACCGGGAGCTACACACACGGTAGAGGAATAAACACATTAACAAATTCACTTAGGTAAGAAACTGTCTTTTTAAAATTGAGTCGTTAAGACTTAACCGATTTAGCAATTTTGTCAGCAGTGATGTGGTGATGTAATGTCCCCAAAAGTGTGTCTTACATCAAATACGTAACGTCAGGTTAACCGTTAGATAACAAAATGTCAAAACGAGTAGCATTTTCTTAAAAAGAGACAATTCTTTAGCGTTTCTGTCGAACAAAAAATGCCACCCCAGTAGCACAGTTTCTTAGGGTTCACATGATCAAACAATATATATATAATGTTGAAAATGCAATGGTTGTCAAATGTCAAATGTGTGAACGTATATTCTATCGCCCTACACCTAAACCTACCCCTTACAGGAAACGTTTTGCAGTTTTACATTCTCAAAAAATATATATTATATATATATATATATATATATATATATATTATTTATAAGCTTGTTTCTTCATGGGGACCTCAATTTAGGTCACCACGGTGACACGAGGCCCCATGAGTCAGTGTGTAGCCTATTCAGGTGTCCCTGAAAAATACACATGCACACACTAGCCAAAACTTTTGTTGTTTTGCATTTCATAATTATTTTACAGTGGAAGAGGACTAGTCAAGTCAAATGTATTTGTATGGCTCTTTTCACAATACGCATTGTTTCAAAGCTTACAGAAAGACTTACTGTTATGTCAATTAAGAGATTTTGAGATTTTTAAATGTTGGTCATTGTTCTATTAAGATAAGTATCTTGTTTATGTATACAGTTTATTAACTGTATGTAGTAGAACAAAATATGAAAATAACTATTTGAATTATTACCGGGTTGGCCTACAAATTGACGTCACAGCTGAACAAGCACTATTTCCACCCCAGGGGTCTGTGTGAGGATTGTCAGGAGGAGGAATCAGAACATGTCACTGCCAAAAATATATTACAGAAAGAGAAATATTCAGAAGGACACCACAGGAGACACTAGATGCAAAGCAAATACTCGGTCAAACAGGAAATTATAAATCTTTAATTGTATTCTTGAGGGAAACTGGGTTATGTCACATGTATTACAAGTATTACTGTTGAACATAGTGGACTTCTTTCAAAAAAATCGGACCAGTACTACAGTGTTACACTACGTTTACATGCAACCAAATAATCCATTTGTAATCGGATTGACTGCTCAATCAAACTGAAAAACCTTCACAGAAACACAATCAGGGTATCTTCCGTTCATTCGCTTTTTAATTTAATATTGAAATCTTCATTTGTTAACTTCAAACAAAACAAAAAATCAAGAATTTGGCTTCATTTTTCGTTTTTACGTTCAGGGATAGAAAACGAATAAGCAACTTGAATATTCGATCTCTACGCATATAGTGGTGTATCATTCCTGAATGAATCAGTCTTTGAAAAACCCATTATTATAGACAACAATGCAATTACCAATTATTATAGACAGCCGCTTGATTTTATTCCTAAATTAATGAATGAATGAAGCATTTTTAAGGAATTGATTGAATAAAAGGCTCCTTTATTAACACAGTGACTTACCGCCACCTAGTGGCGATATTACTTTCATAATTCAAGTATCATTTCATTTTATTCATATTTCTGTATTAAAAATGTTGTATTAAACATTAATCTCATTTCATTATACATTTGTAATTGCTGTGTAAATGCACGTACAGCCATCTGATCAGCATTAAATTAAATCCATCTAAAAGCATCTTCAGACGCAGGTTCTATATCACTGAATACTGATTTAATTGGTAACGGCCTATTGTCATATTATTCAAATTTATTTGATGTAAGAATTTAACATTAAAGATGACATACAAAAGGTAAAAAATAAATAAACTGAAAATCTGTTGCCCCTTATGGGAAAGTTAATTTCTGACACTGGTGACACTGGCTTATTGTTCGAAGTGTTATTTCAGGGTTTGGATATGTTCTTATAACTGAAACGAGTTCACCTTCAAATCATGACGTCAAATTCACGTTTCACTAAATTCAATCACTGAAACAAGCACTCTGACGAAAAAATAGTCCCATGCCAGTGATTTCCTAAATTTCTAGAAAGTGCTCTAGGAATAAATAAAAAAAATAGATGTACTGTGAAGGTAAATTACACCAAAGTCATTTCTTTTCATATGTCATATTATTTAAGTTCCTCCTTTGTCTAAAACGCAGTGTATTGTCTAACACAAAAGTTATGACTATGTTCACATAAATTGATAGTGGTCTGTGCTTCACTACAATGCATTCTCCCCGCGCTGCAGTGTGTTGTGCAGCTTTGCCACACACATTTTGATAGTTAGCTATAATAGATCAGGCGGTGTGCCAAAGGACCAAAGGCTCTGCCTCGGTACGGTTTGTGTCAAGCCATTCATTAATCTGGCTGTTTGATGAAGAGAAAGAGATAAAATGTAGTAGAAATAAACATGTTAAGAATCAATAGAAGCGGAGTACCTAATCAGGGTTGTATGCCATCAGTTAGCTGGCCAATACACAATATTAATTAAATAAACTCAGTTTATTGTCTAAAACTACCTGTGCAGAGGCGGCCTACAGTGAGCAGAGGCCGGGAGCTAGTGTGAGAAACGACCGGAGGGTTAGAGTGAGCAGAGGTGGCCTACAGTGAGCAGAGGCACAGCCTTGAGAATGGCGCAGCTGGCGATTTCGATGAAGGAGCGTCCGGAAGGACATGTGACGACTCCGGGCTGGACTCCGCTTCGTCCACGGTGAAAGCCGATCCGGCGATCCACAGCGTGAAGTTGTAGTATTTCCTCAGCGACCAGCATGGATCAGCTCCAGGCATGACGAAGCAGATATCGTCCTGTTTTGGAAGACCAAACAAAGTAGTTTCGCTTTTACAACGAAGCACACAGCGTCTTTACGACATTGCGGCGGAAACAACAAAACTACAGCGAGAATAAAAGTTACGCCGCCTTTCTTTGCGTGAACATTTGGGCGGCATTATGCTAATCTTCCCACAGAGCGACGTAGGTAAGTTGGGGCATGTTAGAACGAGCCGTTTTAGGTAGGTGTGGCTGACTCTTAACTTTTATAAAGAATAGCTCTTTGGATTTGAGACTTTAGTCTTTGCAACTTTACAGATATTCTTTATGCACCAAGAGCTTGTAACACTCCAAAGAGAAAGGAAAAATTTAAATCGCATCATATGACCCCTTTAAACAATGGTCTGATTAACAACAACATCAAGAGGTTTAGCCAAAGTTTTCAGCAAAAGGTGCTTAAGGATACAACAAATCATTGTTCTAGGTTTTTCATATAGCATTATGATGATGGCCTCACCTTTGCACTTTAAGTCTTAAAAATGTCTCTGTGCAGGGCTGAGGAGAAGGTGACGGTTCATTTTCTGAATCGAGATGGAAAAAGGATTACGGGGAAAGCTTTAACTGGAGAATCACTACTCGATGTTGTTGTTAACAATGATCTAGATATTGATGGATTTGGTAAGTGGTTTAAAAATATTGTACATAATTTTATTTGTTCAGCCAACTATAAATTTTTTCCTTTACACACTATAAAAAGTAAAAACATGCAGTTTCTTCCTGCTCTGATCCTTAAAATTGCATTGTCACCTATTGTAGTCAGGTTGATTCAGGTCGTATTAAATAATATTTATGATTTCAATGAATCCACATTTTTTTGACTACCTGACAAAACATTTTTCCAGTGCATATTGTGTACTGTCTATGAAGACTGCAGGTTGACTCAAAAAAAGCAAAAGTAAACGTATGCGAGCGCTATAGAAAGGCAAAAATGATTTGGTCATCATGAACAGACTAAAGCTTTACAGGACTTTTTGTATGTAATCCAAAGGTAAAACGAGGTGAACAGCTAGAGAAACATTTGAATGCTTGTCATGGTAATGTAAGTGACTGTGAGTCTTACTACTAGCTTGTTGCAGGCTAATATTTTTGTGTGTCTTTTGGGTTGTTGAACTAGGTGCATGTGAGGGAACTTTGGCCTGCTCTACGTGCCACCTTATTTTCGAGGAGGCCGTCTATAAGAAGCTTGGAGCTGTTTCTGACGAGGAAATGGACATGCTGGACTTGGCTTATGGGCTTTCAGACACGTGAGTGAACAAATCATGATCACAGATCATTTTAAAATTGTCTTCAAAGGCCATGCAATAGCTGTTGATATGTTTGTATTTAAAGATGAAGAATGTGTCTTTTTTATGTTTAAATACACTTTCCTATTCTATGTATGCAGAGACAACAATTAGTAAGCCATTCATAGTTTGATTCCCCTGTAAATTTAAACACTAGCTCACTATCATTGCTCTGTTTGTTTGAGCATTGTGACCAGCCCATAACTGTAACATTGGCCCAAACACTGGAGTGAGTTAGAGGCAGAGTTATCTGTTTGTGATTGAAACCCACTTCCATTTGATTTCAACACTTGCCGTAGAATAACTGAATTCACCTTAAAGGGACAGTTCATCCAAAAAAAAAATTCTGTCATAAATTACTCCACCTCAAGTTGTTCCAATCCCCTAAGACTTTCATTCATCCTCGGAACACAGTTGAAGATATTTTAATTGAAATCCGAGAGGTTTCTGTCCCTCCATTGACTTAGGTCTTCTCACTTTGAAGACCAAGAAAGGTAGCGAAAACATCATAGGTTAGTCCATGTTACTCCAGTGGTTCAACTGTAATAAACCAAAGTCTTAGGGGTTTGGAAGAACTTGAGGGTAAATAATTAATGACAGAATTTTCATTTTTGGATGAACTGTTCCTTTAAAAGGCGCATGTACATTAAAAAGTGCACATCTTTTTCATTTTCTGTTATAGCAGTTCATGATTTGGCTTGATATGAATATTCATGGCAAATCTTCAGATTTCTATTTTGCATGTACATCTTTCAGATCTCGTCTGGGCTGTCAGGTGTGTTTGAGGAAAGATCTGGATGGGATGATTCTGCGTGTGCCAGACGTGATATCTGATGCTCGAGTTGACAGTGAAAAAGAGTCCTCCACAGCCCCACCCAAAGTATAATCTATAAAATAAAGCCCTGCTGTATCTCATAAACACTGCATTATGGAGATATCTTTAATAACGGGTATTTTAATATGTACTATTTTAATAGGAAACTAAAATTTAACTGATAACATTTATCATTTAATATTATTTACATGCTGCCGTAAGTAGTTTTTATAAATTTGGGGATTGTTGTTTTTTAATTGTGCAGATTCTGCAATTCTTTGTGTCACAATGAGAGGTGGGAGCATGTTGTTATACATTTTGAATGCAGAAATAACTGTAACTGATTTATTGCAATAAATATGATGTTCAACTTTTTAAGTTGCTTTGTTTGTTTTTTGTATTTGAAAGCTGGAACATCATCCTCAAGCAAGTACATGTGATTTATATTTGAACATGTTTTATATTGATGCGTTAAAAATGTTGACATGAGCACAGTGAGAATGTGAATTACTGAGTCGAAATATGTTTGCAAGAATGAACACGTGTTCAAAAATAAACTAGGGCACACACAAGTGGGATTACTAGTTTTAATAAAGTGCAGTAAAATATTGTAATTATAAATCTATTTTTCTGTTTTGTATACATTTTACAAAAATGTTTGGCTACATTTACAAAAAGGCATAACAATGCTCAAAAATCATCTTAAAATGAAATCAACTTGGACCTCAAAATGGTAACATTCATCTTACAAAGTTGAACTTAAAACTTAAGTTTTAAGATCAACAAGCAAAAATGGGTAATACATCCCTTAGGGCTGTCACTAACAATTATTTTGGTATTTCGAGTAATCGGTTGATTATTCTGACGATAATCTGATCATTTTTTGTGGTAATAAAATAGACCTAAGCAAACAATAGAATTTAAATGACTTAAAATACACGCATAATAAAAATGAGGCAATAATAATTGGTTCAAATAAAATATCAAAATCAATTAATCACTTGTGTACATGATGTGTTATATCAAATGCCTGCAGAGAGCACCAACTGCCTGACGATTGTTTTTACAATTTACAGCACGATCTAATCCTTGTTTAAAATATTGACTAAACAACATTGAATTAAAATGTCCACTTAATCGTTAATATTTTTCCCACATCTGTATTCTAGAAAATGCCAGTCATTTTTTTAACAAGAACATGTGGACGTCAAAACATGCAAACTCAGAGCAGGGGTTGAAACTTTATTTTGAAGTCGTCTGTGGAATGCGCTACTTCCGGTATTTTGCCGGTTAATCGTTAAAGGGCCAAATGTAATCGATGATAATCAAGTATTCGAGTTTAATCGAGGAATCGTGACAGCCCTAATATCCCTACTGTATGTAATCCTGAAAAGGTAATTTTGTAAATGTGAGTATAAGTGCGTGCTGTTTTTGAACGTTTTAAATGCTTCAGTTTGACTTGCATAAGGAGGAAAAGTGAGAAAAATGTGTTAATGTAAGTACAATAAAATCCCATGCATATTATTCTAATGCTTGTAAATATTTACAAAAAAGGCATTATAAAGCTCAAACTGCAAGTATTAATAAAATAGCTATTCCTAAAAAAAATGTAATCATACTGTAATCTGAAGCATGTAATTGTTCATTGTAAGAAACCGCAGATTATTATAATTAATGGGGTCCCAGTGTTTGTGCTTTTTTTTTTTAAATGACTTCCCATTGGCTTCACACAATCCACTGGCTGCTATTGCAACAGCTGAGCTTTTGGCCTCTCCCAACAGCTTGCTTCTCTCGGAGTCCCAAGTAGTCCCTGACTATTTTTCCAGAGGAGGGGTGCAAATCAAGTGCTTTAAACCTCAACTGCTGCCCAGAAAGTTTGGTAGACTTCAAACCTGCCTTCTGTCCCCTGATTTTGTGCACCGTCAACTTGCAACTCTGTCCATAAAACACACTCTGTGGTAGCTTGACCTCTTCTTCAGTCCTGGTTTGACAGGTAAACCTGATGGTCTGAGGGTCAGGGGAAACCTTGGGGTCTCCTAAAGGGCTGTGAGTTGGGCTCCCAGGCCCCTTGTAGAAAAGGCCCTTTCCTTTATGTAAAGGCGTTTGAGTGGAAGTCTGTGAGAACGGTTTTCTGTTGAGCTTTTGTAAGGCCTGCTGATGAGGAGGATTTTGGGGCATTTTAGGCTGTAAACCCCCTTTAATATCAGTGAAGTTCCTCTGATTATTTGGTGGAGATACTTTCTCATTGGGCAAGCTGTTCGAGTGTTGGTAATCTGTGCCATTTTGAGTGAGTAAATCAACCTTGGCTGGAGAATCCTGAGGAGAATGAAGGGTCTTCCTGGTGGACAGAGAAAATGGACTGTCTATTGGTGAGTATGTTGGTGAAGTCACTGGCGATGATACACTGGAGGTTGGTGGAGTTTGTTTTTCTCTCATAAAATTCAGTTCTTGAAAGGTTTGATCCAAAAACACATTGTCATTGACCTCATCAGGTCTCTTAAACTCTTCATGTTTTCCACTTTGTATGGTTATTTCCTGCTCATGAGAAATCAAAACAATGGTGGACATGGAGTGTTTGCGTAATTTAAGGGATAGGAGTTGACGCACTGCGAATGTACAGTTTCTGATTTGTGCCAATGGGCTGGAAGACAGCAAGTCGTTTTCTGGACAATCAAGTTCACAATCACTCAGTGACATGAGTGAGTCCATACTATGACTGTCTTTAAGAGAACGGGTCTTGGAAATGTCCTCTGTGTCAGTATTCACCTCATTCTTTAGACTCTCATAACCCGAATCTGACATCTGCTGCAGGGACCCAACTAGAGGCAGGAAGAGAAAAGAAATATATAGGCTGTAAAATATTAAAAACATAGTCAAAGAAACTGTGTGAAAATGTGCCATTATTACTTTATGAAGTTACAGTATATTGAACTGATCTGAGGTCTTCAGATCATTTTAGGAAAAGACAGTGTTGTCATTTTATTTAAAAAAATCGATTAAAAATATTTTTGTTAATTTAAATAAAATATAAATATTAGATGAAAACACATAACCTAAATGAAAATTATAAATGTTGCCTTGGTAGCTAATTAAAAGTTAAATGTTAATGTAATTTTTTTTAACTAAGCTGAAGTACTAAAATGACTAAAAGTAGAATAATAAGTATAAATATTAAAACAAAAAGTAATAAAACATTAATTGCAATAATAACTTTACATTTTGTTAGTGCTGGGCAACAATTAATTGTGATTAATCGCATCCAAAATAAAAGTTTTTGTTTATATAATATATGTGTGTGTACTGTATATATTTATTATGTGTATATATAAAGACACACATACAGTATATATTTTGAAAATATTTTCATGTATTTATATATATATATAATTATATTCATATAATTTATATTATATATAAATATATTTAATAAATACACAACATATTGTTTCTTAAATATATGCATGCATGTGTGTATATTTATATATACATAAGAAGTATACACACATATATATGTACACAAAAACGGTTATTTTGGATGCGATTAATCGCTGCCCAGGACTAATTTTTTTTATATTATTTATTCATAGTTAAGCAGTTAAATTTGCTAAAGTACATTTCAGGCTGGCAAAATATTATACGGTGTTGTTTTGTATTGGTGTGTACAGTATGTGGTTGTGAATTATGTCTGTATTTATAGTAACCTGATCCGCGGTTGCTTCTATTGTCTTCAGTCAAATCCTTTAAGAGGGTTATAATTTCATCCCCAAACAACGCACAGCAGTTGTCAATCAAGACACGCACAAGGTCACACACCTGTGTACAGATTTCATTGGCAATTACATTTACATTTTCCTTTCCTATGTCTATTACATTTCCATTCCTACTGCCATTTTCATGTTCTTTAGAGAGCAATAACGATGATTACTTCAGCTAATACTCATGCACTCTGCAGATATTATAATAATCTAGTAATAATAAAGCATGTGCGCTTACCTTTTTGGCATCTTTTTCATGAGATTGTAGTTTGCGATTCCACAGACAGCTAGGTGCTATACACACAGCCAGGTTAAAAGAGGTCATCTGGTTGTGCTCAGCATTGAGCTGTATGTGGTGCAGCATTGCTATCATGTGTCTCAGCAGCAGGAGATTTTCTTTAGGTAAAAGCTGAACAAGCCTGTGAATGTGGGCAGAATCAACATATCTAAGTTATCTGTCTTCATGATTATATAACTCATAAAGCTAAAGGAAATTGGCTGCTAAACCTAAATCTGCTTAAGCTGTGCAGTAATATCATAGTCTTGATTCATCATTATCAAGGTTTTATCCTTCTTTACTAACTAGCATTACAAAACCAGATAAACTAATCAGAGCGTTACTGGGACTTTACCTCTCTGTCATTTGTCCATTTCTTTCACCATCCTGCTCCACTGCTTGGAGCCATTGCTCATAGAGCTCCTCACACAATAGGCTGCCCGGTATATTGCGTAAGAATTCCTACCAATCAAAAACACAGATATGAGAACAGAGAGTCGTCATGATACAATCAATGTTTGTTCTTGACTTACACTACCGTTCAATAGTGTGGGGTCAATGTTTTTTTTACTTTTTTTGGAAAGAGTATTTATACTTTTATTCAGTAAGGATGCATTAAATTAAAAGTGTGGCAGTAGAGACATTTATAATGATATAACAGCATATTAGAATGATTTCTGAAAGATCATGTGACACTGAAGACTGAAGTAATGGTTGCTGAAAATTAATCTTTGCCATCATCAGGAATAAATTACATTTTAAAATAATATGCAAATTCAAATATAAAAGTGTTATTTCACAATATTTCTGTTTCAACTGTATATTTAATCAGCCTTGGTGAGAATAAGCTACTTCTTTCGAAAACATTACTGTGATACTGTTACAGACCCCAAACTTTTGAAGAGTGCACATATATAAATATCTACCTTGAACACTGAAGCAGTAACAAGTACAGGTTCTCCGCTGAGTGGCTCTTCATAGTGACCAGAATCCAGTTTTTCCCTCAATTCTCGGCAGGCCTTCACTCCAGCAGAGCGCCGGAATATTCCACGCGTCACGGCCCCCTCACTGCACAAACACTTCAGCATGTCCTTTAAAAAACAAAAAACAGGTGGTTTGATTGCAATACTATTGTAAATGGATGTTATCATATTTTAACAAAAATTATGTTTATTATAACTTTTTCATAAAGGAATACAAATGTTTTAAGGTGCTTTTCGACATTTAATTACGCAAAAAGTTATACATCTTTTCATTTACATAATATACTGTACTAGTCTTAACATATAATATTACACTGCTTCCGTCAATCTTTCTCATTGTGATGAAGTTCATAAAGTAATACAAGGCAAGGCAAGGCAAGTTTATTTATATAGCACATTTCATACACAATGGTAATTCAAAGTGCATTAGCCTACATAAAAGGAATTCAAATGATCATAAAAAAATAATCACAACAATAAAACGAGGAATTTAAAAACTTTTCAAATTGATTTAAAATGAATTAAAACAGTTAAGAATAGAAAATGATTA